TTTTTCATGTGTCTATAGGCCATGCGCCTGTCTTCTTCAGAGAAGCTTCTGTTCAAGTCTCTTGCCCATAATGAAATGGGATCACTTGTTCTTTTCTTATTAATAAGTTTGAGTTCTCTGTGGATTCTGGTTATCAGACCTTTGTCAGAAATATAACCTGCAAATATCCTCTCCCATTCTGTCTACTTGCTTTACTTACTGTGTTCTTGGCAGTGCAGAAGCTTCTTAGTTGGATCATACAGTTATTCTTAATACCTTTGTCTTTTAAATTTTATTCTGGGGTTAAAAGTGATTTGTGTACCACCATTACAGTATTACAATATTCTGTCTTTGTCTATATGTTTACCTTTACTGCTGAGATTTCGACTTTTTTTTGTTTGTTTGTTTTGAGACAGAGTCTCACTATGTCGCCCTGGGTAGAGTGCTGTGGTGTCACAGCTCACAGCAACCTCAAACTCTTGGGCTTACGTGATTCTCTTGCCTCAGCCTCCCAAGTGCTGGGACTACAGGTGCCTGGTACAATGCCCCGCTATTTTTTGGTTGCAGTTGTCACTGTCGCTTAGCAGGCTCGGGCTGGGCTTGAACCTGCCAGCCTTGGTGTATGCGGCTGGCGCCCTACTCACTGAGCTACAGGAGCTGAACCGAGATTTATACTTTCATATGCTTTTGTGTTAATATTTAGCAACTTTTTGTTTCATTGTATAGAACTCCCTTAGCACTTCTTGTAAGGCAGGCCTAGTGGGTGAAGAATTCCTTGAGGTTTTGTTTATCTGGAGAATTCTTTATCTCTTCTTTATTTTTAAAGGGTAGTTTTGCTGGGTATAGTCTTCTCAGCCATATTTTTTGTTTTTTCTTTTAGTATTTTGACTGTATCATCCCATTTTTTCCTGGCCTGCAATATTTCTGCTGAGAAATCTGATTGTCTTATGAAAATGTCTTTGTATGTGATGAGTTGCTTTTCTCTTAATCTTTTCAAAATTCTTTATCTCAACAATCACAGACCTCTTAAATTCTACCTATTTGGCAATCTTTAGGTTTCACAAACATGGATGTCCATTTTCCTCCTCAGACTTTGGAATTTTTCATTCATTATTTCTTTAAATAAGCTACCTTGATTATTGGGGGTGTATATATATACACACACACATATATCTTCTATATAGAAGAAATTAAGACCTAGTCTTTGATTAGCAGGGTGACCGAAGTTTATAATAATCTATGTATTTCAAAATATCTAGAAGAGAATAATTCAAATGTTGATGGATATCCCAGTTACACTGATTTGATCCTTGAAAATTATATGAATATATTAAATCATATATATTTTGAAAATATGTATGACTATTATATATCAATAAAAATTAAAATTAAAGACTAAGCTTTCTTATGACTGAGTGCAGTGAGTTATGTCTATAATCCTAGAACTCTGGAAGGCCAACGTGGACGGATTGCTTGAGCTCAGGAGTTGAAACCAGCCTGAGCAAGAACGAGACCATATCTCTACTAAAAATGGAAAAATTAGCAGGGCACTATGGTGAGCACCTATAGTCCCAGCTACTCAGGTGGCTGAGGCAGGAAGATCACCTGAACCCAAGAGTTTGAGGTTGCTGTGAGTTAGGCTGATGCCATGGCACTCTAACCTGGTTAATAAGAGTGAGACTGTGTCTCAAAAAAAAAAAAAAAATTAGTTTTTCTGCCCTTTCTCTCTTCTTCTTAAACCTTCATAATGTATACATTGTTTCACTTGATGGTATTCCTAAGTCCAACAGGCTTTCTTCTTTTTCATTTTTTCCCTCTTTTGTTACTCTAATTTCATATGACTTGTCTTTGAGTTTATTGAATCTTTCTTATGCTTGATCTAGTCTGCTGTTAAAGCTTTTTTTTTTTTTTTTTTTGAGACAGAGCCTCACGCTCTCCCCCCTGGGTAGAGCACTGTGGCATCACAGCTCACAGCAACCTCCAACTCCTGGGCTCAAGTGAGTCTCCTGCCTCAGCCTCCCAAGTAGCTGGGACCACAGGCGCCTGCCACAACGCCTGGCTATTTTTGGGTTGTAGCTGTCATTGTTATTTGGCGGGCCAGGCTGGATTTGAACCCGCCACCTTAGGTGTACACGGCTGGCGCCTTAGCCACTTGAGGCACAGGCACTGAGCCTGCTGTTAAAGCTTTCTATTGAATTTTTCAATTTTGCATTCTTCAGGTCTAGGATTTTTTTTTTTCTGGTTTATATTTCTTTATTGAAGTTGTTACTTTGTTCCTGCTTTGTTTTCCTGATTTTGTTGTTATTTATCTATATTTTCTTATAATTCACTGAGCTTCTATAAGAGAGTTATTTTGAATTCCTTGCCAGGCAGTTCATGTATCTCTATTTCTTTATGGCTAGCTATTAGAGTTTCTTTATGTTCCTTTTGTGGTGTCATGTTTCCCTGATTCTTCATGATCCTTGTGACTGTGCATGGATGTCTGTGCATTTGAAGAAGTACATACCTTTTCCAGTCTTTACAGACTGGTTTCAGCAGGAAAAGACCTTCACTAGTCAGCTCAGCCAGAGATTCTGCTTGAGATAGCTAGGGAGATCTGTGGGCAGTGCCTGCTGCTAGGGTCCATGGTGGTGGGCCTGCTGTGGGAATCTGCACACTGGAGGCTGTGAGCCCTGCCCCTATTCTTTGTTCCCAGCTTTCCCCAGGTATTTCATCCATGCCAGTTTCACCAGTACTCTGGGTGAGGTAAGATACAAGTGGGTATCTTAGGCACCCCACAGAAGGTAGAGTTCCACCTTTCTCTTCCTTTCCCCCAGAGGAGATATTGCAGGCCAGTAGGACCCCTCTCAGCCCTGCAGAAGTGACATAGGCAAAGTAAAACTGCCCTTACTTTCTTTAATGTGGCTTTTTCAGTTTTTGTGTTCCATTGGGCCTATCCTACCATCTTGCTGATGTCATTCCTCTGGTTGTGTCTTTATTTATTTTTTTGAGACAGAGTGCCAAGCTCTTGCCCTGGGTAGAATGCTGTGGCATCACAGTTCACAGCAACCTCAAACTCCTGGGCTTAAGCAATCCTCTTGCCTCAGCCTCCCAAGTAGCTGGGACTACAGGCACCCACCACAATGCGGGCTATTTTTTGGTTGTAGTTTTCATTGTTGTTTGGCAGGCCCGGGCCAGATTCGAACCCACCAGCTCTGGTGTAGGTGGCTGGCACCTTACCTGCTGAGCCACAGGCACGGAGCCTGGTTGTGTCTTTAAATCCTTTTCTATCTGTAGGCTCTCTCTCCATCCTGTTTTCTCTTTGCAGTCTATTTGTCAAAGAAACCAGATCTTTTTTCCAGGATGAAGTACTTCTTAGACCTTATGTGTACTCACATCCCCCAGGAATCTTAAAATGCATTTTCTGATTTGACAGGCCTGGGTTAGGGCCTGACGCTATTTTGAAAACCCTACAGGTGATGCCCAGGCTGGTCCCAGGACCAACTCTGAGCTGCATGCCCCTCTGCCTCTGCTTCTCACAAATCAGTGGTAGAGTCTAGTTTGAGGAGAAAAGATTGTGACCCAAGGATTCTAAACTTAAAGATAAATAGGAGGAAAAAAAAATATCTTTTCTCCAAATAACTGGAGGTGGGGAATGAGAATGCACAAAGAAACCCCAGAGGTAAAAGCCACACAGCCCAGCCATGGTATCACACTTACCAGTTAAGGCAATGCGAGGGAAGACTCAGAACCACTGTTAAAAATCAGGTGAAGCAGAACACGGTCACATTTCTGTCCTAGGAAGTGCTAACCATTGTTTTCCCGGGTGAGCTACACACTGCCCTAGCTAACAGGGAGCGAGGGAAGCTGCTTGTGGCTGGCTTCTCTGGCCACTCACCTCTGAACATCAGCCCTGGTGAGCTAGCCAGACCAGCTCAGAACACTGGGCGTGGCCTTCTGACCTCCACCATTGGCCCCAGAGCTGAGGGGATAGGTCAGCTGAGCTGTCTACAGCCCTCTCCTGATGGGCCAAGGAGCAGCAACCTGCAGGACTTTGTGTAAGACAGAAAATGCCAGTAGGTTCTGTCACTAAGGGGGACGCCTGATGGAAATCACTGGAGGACAGCAGCCATGGGCCACCCTGGCACTCCTGGAAGAGTGACTGACATCCATGACCTCACTCTGATGGGGACCTGCGTGCAGCTGCTAGCACTTGGTGGACCCATGCCAGTGTTGAGAGCTGGGATTTCTACTCAGGAGACTCAATGTGAGATGGTTAGCTTCTATACCATGATTGTGAAGATGCTTTAAAATGTATTATTTCATATAAAAGTGAAATGTGGCAGTTCTACTAAATACATACTCATGAGAATGGAAAGCATGTCCTCACAAAATCTCTACATATTCATAGTGGCCATTTTCTCAAGAGGCTTAAGGTGGAAACACCCAGGTTTCAACAGAGTGTGCTCCATCTGTGCAGTGGAAGGTTATTCAGCCATAAGAATGAAGTTCTGACACATGCTGCCTGACGCATGGACCTTGAAAATATTACACTAGGTGAAAGCATCAACAAAAGGCACACGCTGTATGATTCTATTATCATAAAATGTCCAGGACAGAAAGTAAACCTGTGGTTGCCTACAGCCAAGGGGGAAAGAGGGCAATGGAGCATGAATGCTAATGGACACAGGATTTCTTTTTAGGGTAATGAAAATGTTCTAAATTTACATTATGGTTATGGTTGTGTAACTATGATAATCTACTAAAAACTACTGAATTATATTTTATGTTACTTTCATTGTATGCGAATTATACCTCAATAAAGCTATTTTTAAATTTTTAAAATGTAGATTATCATAGACTTTACATTCCCCTCTGTATTCTGCCAGCAGTTCAACCTCCTGGGAATGCAGACACTTTGCATTCACTGGCCTTCAGCCCTTGGGATGGCCAGCAGGGGTCAGCTCTGTGCAGATGGACATGCTGAGGGAAGTGCCTTGCCAGGAGCCATGCTGAGTGGCCTCACTGGTCCCCCCATGCAGGGACAAGGAGATCAACCAGCTGAAGCAGTGGATGGGCACGATGATGATATCAATCATCAAGGAGGAGGAAACAGCCGCCGAGCTGGAGCTCAAATCCCGAGTCTTTAACTATGGCGAGTACAAGGGTGATCAGCAGGTAGGTGGGAAGCGGAGTGACCACGAGTCCCAGGTAGAGGAGGTGGTGAGACCTGCTGGAGAGCAAGGAGGGGCACATGAGTGCTCTGCAGCTGCCTGGGTGCCCCTACCTGCCATCCAGGCCTTGTGCAACCAGGGAGCACCAGCTGGAGAAGCCACTCGTGTATTGACACCCTTGGCAGCTCACGTGCACCCATACCTCATTCTTTCATTCAACAAATCTGTCTGCCTCTTAAGCACATCTTTATAAAGCTGTGTCTAGCAAGGTGACCCTGAAGGGGGGAAGAGGTGTGTCTCCAACCAGGCTGGGAGAGTGAGAAAAAACTCTGAGGGATGAGAAATCCAGTGGTGTTCTTGGCTGAGCCCACTGACAGTGTGCTTGGGGCTGCTGTGTACATGGGCTAGCTTCCTGGCTTACTTGAACACTGTCAAGTGTTACCTGTGCCAGGCACTGGGCCAGGTATGTGGGACTCAGTTGGCACTTGCTGTGCCTCGAGTAGGCTGGGCCCGCCTGCTGCTCATCACTCCCCCCTTGCACACACCTATGTGCAGGGCCTTTTACCTGTTTTCCAAATGTCAGAGAACAAGCTCAGAGGGCAATGTGACCCTGGGGGGAGCAAGGACCAGTGCAGGGCTTGCTGAAGCAGCTGGGAGCAGGGTGAGACACAGGTGTGAATCCCGGTGGGGACTGAAGCCAAGACAATCCTGTACCCCAAGTTCTGTTCAACCTGTGTTTCTAGGCAGCACCTGTGGCTCAAGGAGTAGGGCGCCAGCCCCATATACCGGAGGTGGTGGGTTCAAATCCAGCCCCAGCCAAAAACTGCAACCCCCCCCCCAAAAAAAAAACCCCAACCTGTGTTTCTAGAGCTCCCCTGTGTGCAAGGCAGACTCTTGGGGGTAAGCATGCCACAGCCGAAGGCATGGGTCTGAGTAAACATGGAGTCCAGGCATAGGCCTGCTGGCCACTGCTGGAGGCCCCCTTCTCCACAGGACAAGCTGCTAGAGAACCTGAATCTCAAGGTGCTAGATGTGTACCGGCACTGCACCGGCAGCCGTAGGGATGCCAACCTGGGCACCGTGCAGATGCTGACCATCATCGAGCACCAGCTGGGTGAGCTGCTGGAGAACCTGGAGCACGTACCCCACGGCAGGATTGAGCAGGCTGAGAAGGCCAAGGACAAGGAGCGGCGTTTGAGGTGAGCTCCAGCCTGCCCACTGGTGAGGCTGCTGTCCTGCTGTAAAGCTCTGCCCTCAGAGGGCTCCTCAACCAGGCAGACAGCTCCTGGTGCTCCATGCTATAAGCATGGAAGTCAGGGTCTTGAGGGGACCTGGGGGACATCAAATTGGGCTGGAGGGAGCAGTTGGGGAAGGCTCCCTGGAGGGGATGACAGTGACCAGTGATATGGTCAGGAGTCTTGGGGGACAGTCTAGAAGAGCTGGAGCTCAGTGAAGATATGATCAGCATGGCCTGGATCTTGAGGACAAGGAACAATGGTAAGGGGCCTTAAGGAGGGGACAGACAGGGCCAGGTAGAGCTTGTTTAGACTCTTCCCTTTCAGGCTGGATTAAAGGGGCCAGAGCCCTGGGGAGGGAAGGCACAGCTGCAACAGTGTGTGCAGGAGAGGTGAGAGTGGGGTGCCAAGGACCAGGGAGCTCCTAGGAACTCAAGAGGTGACTGATGAGGCAGGTGGCATGAGCTCCTGTCAAGCTGCTGGGTGGGACCCAGGTGAGATGGGTGCTCATGGCTTTCCTGGTCCCATGGTCCGCCTGGTTCACTCACTGGTGCAGGGCCCTGAAGCCCTTGTAAATGCCCAGCTGTCTTCTTCCAGAATATAGGGGCTTCTCTGTGTCCCTGCCACTCTGATTAGAGGGGGACTGGGCAAAGGTTTGATAACCATTAAGTACAAACAGAAGGAAGATGAGAAGGGGATGCAGCACTGCCTCCCAGGCCCCGCCATTTCTTAAAGCTATCTCTTGCCACCAGAGTTCGGGAACAGAAGGTCAAGCTACAACAGATGCTGCAGGAAGAGCGTCTGCAGCGTGCTCAAGCCCGGGCCCGGGCCAAGATCAAGACGAAGGTGGGCAGGATTGCCTTGGGGACAGGGGTAGGGGGTCCTCTGCTGGAGGGTCCTAAGAGACAGCACGGGCAGACTAAGGAGCTGAGGTCCAAGATCCTGACACCCCCTCCTTTGCAGGCAGTGTCACTAAGGTGCTGAGGGAGCAGTCTGCCCTCCCTTACGCCACTAGCCCAAGGCCTGAGACAAGGTCTCCTGTCTGCACACAAGCTCCTGGGCACAAACTGGCCGGGCCCTGCCCAATGCAGCACAAGCATCTTGGCCCCGGGTCTCACCACCCATTTACACTTATCACCTGTCACAGGGTCCTCCTCCTGCTATGTCCTGTGACTTCACCCCATGGCAAATGGGCTGGCCTTGCAATAGAAAGCATAGTCCCTAAACTAGACCTGGAGTTGAGCGTAGACCCCAACCAACTGGTGAGGCTGGGATCCTTTTAGTTGGATAGGCCATTATCCCTGTGCTGTCACCTGGGGAGGAGCAGACACTGCAGATCTCCTCCATGACCCACAGCCCAGGAAATGGGCTCATTCCATGTAGCCTAGTATTTCCCAGTTAATTTCTGGGACCCCAGCTCCCCAACATCTAAAAGGTGGTGCACCATGAACCAGGCTTGGTAAATGCTAGGCAGACTCACACTCCTGGTCATTTCAGGCATGGGTCGCCCTCAGCCCGCTAGGCTGACCTGTGATGAGCAGGAGCTGACTGGAGGTCACGGAGACTATTCTCAACCAGGGGGTGGGGTGCAAGCATCACCACATGTGTGTGCACCCAGGTGCCACCAAGGCTGTGAATCACAGGCTCACCAAGTTCATTTCCTCACAGAGAGGCAGGAGACTGGTGGGCCGCTCCCGGCCCCCAGCCCTCAAAACGAAGACGGTGTCTGCACACACGCAGATGGACAAGGACAAGGAAGAGATGCTGTTTTTCTTCACCTAAACCCCACAAAGCCACAAGATTGGCTGAGGCTTAGGAAAAACATAGCAGAGGAGGCAGAGGGCCTGGGCTGGGTCATGAGTGGACTGCCCGGGCCTCGTGGTCCCCTTCTGTGCCCTCTGCACTCACCTGAAATAAACACTTGTCTCCTTGGTGCCCTGACAGCCTGTTTTAGGAAGCAGCCCACCCCCTTACCAAATCTCAGAGGCAATCTCTTTCATCACTATCCCTAAGCAGATGCCCGAGAGGTGAAGCATGGCCTTGGTCCTCATCTGGAATAGCTGTTTGCGGCTCCGCACCCATAGCACAGTGGTTATGGTGCCAGCCACATACACCAAGGATGGCGGGTTTGGGCCAGCTAAACAACCGAACAACAAAATAGCCAGGCATTGGGGTGGGTGTCTGTAGTCCCAGCTACTTGGGAGGCTGAGGCAAGAGAATCGCTTAAGCCCAATAGTTGGAGGTTGCTGTGAGCTGTGACACCACAGCACTCTGCCCAGGGCGACATAGGGACACTGTCTCAAAAAAAAGAAAAAAAAAAAAAAAGAACAGCTATTTTGGGAGAGACAGATGCCAGCTCTACATTGGGATACAGTGTGTGGTCAGCCCAGTGCCAAGACAAAAGAAAAACAGTAAACTGGGCACATGGAAGGGTTGTTAATAGAAGAAAGAAAAATTACTTCTACACCACCACAATATGTTGAATTATGCCATGACGAAATTTTTGGTGCGTTGTCTATAAAGAAGCACTTACCCATCGTCAACAAGTAGCCTCAGTGCCCCCAAAACAGCAGCCAGTCGCTGTGCCTTGTGGTAGCACTCACAGGGCATGTGGGAGGAAGGCACAGCCCAGAGCGGTGTCTCACACCTGTAATCCTGGGAGGTTCACTTGGCCTAACAAGTTCAAGACCAGCCTAAGCGTGAGTGAGACCTCATCTCTACCAAAAATAGAAAAACTAACTGGGCATGATGGCTGGTACCTCCACTCCCATGAGGGAGGCTGAGGCAAAAGGATCACTTGAGCCCAAGAGTTTGAGGTTGCTGTGAGCTATGACTCCATAGCACTCCACCCAGGGTGACAAAGTGAGACTCTGTCTCAAAACAAATAAAGAAAGCCAAGGCCTGGGCAAAGCCTCTTCCCTGGAGATGGTGTGGTATGGCCATGACCACTGGCCAGCAGCCCTGCTTCCTATGGAGGGAGGAGGCCTACCAAGTGGGCAAGTTCAGCCCCTGACCTTTAGTCTGTGATGTGGCACAGCGGTTAGAGGAAAGAGCCACTAACAGATGGGGCTTGAATTCTGGCTGCCAGAATAACCAGCACCTGGTACGTGGCACCTCAGAGCCAGACAGAAAGAGGAATCTCTCAGAACAACAACTTAGTGTCATTTCCAGAAGTCAGAGTACCCAAATTCAAGAAATAAAATCAAAAAACAGAATTTGGAGGATTCCAAGTCTGAGAACCCAAATAGCATCCAAATAAATATATACTTCAAAAGGCACAAGGCAAAAAAAGCATTTGAGTACCCCTGTGTCTACTCCATTAACTAACAAATATGTGCAGGTTATCAGTGGTGTCTCCTTTTGGAAGACAGACCTTCCCCACATCAATGTATTAGGTACACAGCTTCAACAATAAAAAACAAACACATACCATAATTACTCCTACACATAATTTATAAAATTCACAACATTGCTTTATAAACTATTGTCAAATTATTACATTTATACCCAAATACAGAATCTTTAAAATTTAAATTTTAACCCCCACTCTGAGGTGGCATGCAGGGCCCCCCGGCTGGCTGCCTGCCTTCTCCAGCATATGGGGACTAGAATTTGGTTTCACTGCAGCACTGGGACCACTTTGCCCTATGATGTGATAAAACTGACCTGCCTAATGTGGTGGGAGCTGAGCTGATACACAAGCTCTCAGAAATGGAGAATGGGGGTTCTAGTCTCAAGAAACTGTTGAAACACTGCAGCTGAAAGGCTCAGCCTGGTTTTACAACAGACAAGGTTGTATTTGACCAGAAGCCCATGATTTCTGGCTGAAGTCTTTTTTTTTTTTTTTTAAAACCCAACAAGTGTGTTACGCTCCTCAGACTCACAGACTCGGGAGAAGGGCCACAACACGCATAGTCTGTGGGGAGGCAGCATCAAGGGACAGCCCACATTGTTTCCTCTCAGGACTGAAGGAAACATTTTTGGTAAATGTACCTAAAAGTCTAAAGAACTAGGCTGGTCTAATCAGAAACCAACTGGGGTCTCCCCAGTCCCACAACCCATAGGCATTCAAGTCTCAGGAACACAGAGCCTAGAAGGTGGCCCTCTGGTCTCCACAGGCAGGGGTTTGTTGTCTCTGCAGATCCGGCAGGTTGACAGTGCTTGGTGGGAACTGGGTGGTCCCAGGCCTGGCAGCATCTCCAGCTGTGGGAAGCACCTCCTGCAAGACCAAGAGCCCAGTGAGCAGAGGGGGAGGTGGAGACAGCAGGGTGCTGACAGGAGCAGGCAGCTGGCAGAACCAGTGGCAGGCTACTACTTCTCATTAAAACGAGTATTTTCTCTCACATCTGTAATCCTAGCACTCTGGGAGGCCATGGCAGGTGGACTGCCTAAGCTTAGGAGTTTAAGACCATTCTGAGCCAGAGCGAGACCCCGTCTCAACCTAAAATAGAAAAACTAGCCAGTGTTGTGGCAGGTGCTTGTAGTCCCAGCTACTCAGGAGGCTGAGGCAAGAAGATCACTGGAGCCCAAGAGTTTGAGACCATGGCACTCTACCCAGGGCAATAGAATGAGACTTTTTTTTTTTTTGGTAGAGACAGAGTCTCACTTTATTGCCCCTGGTAGAGTGCCGTGGCATCACACAGCTCACAGCAACCTCCAACTCCTGGGCTTAAGTGATTCTCTTGCCTCAGCCTCCCGAGTAGCTGGGACTACAGGTGCCTGCCACAACGCCTGGCTACTTTTGTTACAGTTCGGCCGGGGCCAGGTTTGAACCTGTCACCCTCGGTATATGGGGCTGGCGCCCTACTCACTGAGCCACAGGTGCCACCCTAGAATGAGACTCTTAACTCAAAAAAACCAAAACAAAACAAAAAAACCCAGAACAACAACAAAAAGAGAATGTTCTCCCCTTATTTTAAACACATGTTCTCAAAAACAAAGAAAGAAACATGTTCTTTGGTGGAAAATGTTAGATATAAACAAAAATAAGGAAAAGTGAAGTGAACTCACCCTGTGTTGTAAATTTTCCCAGACTGTGTCCCATGCATGCTGATGTATATACACATTCAGGCACCTATGTACCTTTTTTTTTTTTTTTTTAAAGAGACAGAGTCTCACTTTGTTACAGCTCACAGCAACCTCTAGCTCTTGGGCTTAGGCAATTCTCTTGCCTTAGCGTCCCTAGTAGTGGGGACTACAAGCGCCTGCTACAACGCCTGGCTATTTTTTGTTGCAGTTTGGCCAGGGCCAGGTTTGAACCTGCCACCCTCAGTTTATGGGGCCGGTGCCCTACTCACTGAGACACAGGCGCCGCCACCTATGTACCTTTTTATAAAAACAAAAGTCTCTTTACTTCCATAACCAGTCCTTTCTCCCTACTTTGCACATGGTGAGCACCTCCTATGGGTATCAAGTGTCCATCAACACCATCAAAGTCTGACCAGGATGTGGCTGAGGGCTGTGTCAGCCCCATCTAGTCCCCTTCCTCCTGCTACAAGAAATGTTCCTGTCTGGGCATTGACTCCAGGCTGCAGTGAACGTCTCTGGGCTGTGTTCTTACTACCTTATTTCTTTAGGCATATCTTATGAGTGGGCTGCCCAACAGAATAGAGCAGGTATTTCTGTAGTCCCCATACCACCTAATTCCCCTCCTCTGCGTTCTGGGGCTGGCCTATGACCCCCACCAGTCAACATTTGGTTTAGATGTTAGGAAAACGTTGAATAGCCCAATTTGAATGCAACAAATCTAAAATTCCCATTTGCACAGATTTTAAAAATATACATTTATACTCAATTATTAGAAATTTGATAAGCTACATCTTTCATTATTTCATACGCAACTCTGAATTATCTGTGGCCCCATCTTAAGCTTAACGATTTATTTAAGCCAACTACTGGATTCATCTAGGTCCATCTTCCCACAGCCCAAACACAGGCTAGCCTGCTTCCCAAAGGAGAAACGACTAGGATTTCTCAACAGTAACTCTCCCGTGGCTTATGGAGCCACAGTGATGCACGATCCGGAGCTTTGTTCTCAGCCTTGTTTACCCACCTTCTCCAAGAGGCACCAGAAATCCTGGCAACCAACCCGATGAGCCTCCGCAGCCAGGGGGCCCAGAAACTAACCTGCAGCCATCAAGCCAGCCTTCAGGAAGCTCTGCAATAGTCTCAATAAGAAAAACAAAGGCCATGAGGCATCCAGACCTGGAGGACATAGATGGGCAGGTCCACAGCAAGGAAGGGATGAAGGACAGGCAGCCGTGGGCTGTGGGCCAGCAGGACACCATCACTGGAGGGCTCGTTCTGGGGAGGCAAAAAGGCCTTTCACACATTTACCGGACAGAGGCAGCCATGCTCCGCATCCTGGCTCAAGGAGTCCCTTTTACTGCATTGCTCAGGAGAGCCAGCCCAAGCACTGTGTTCAAGGGTCCTGCAGACTGTGCCATCTAGGGCTGGGGGATACTTGCTCCCCACCTGGCCCTCATCCTCTCACCTCCAGCCCAAGGCCCAGCAGCCTGAGTTGGGCCTAGAACCTTCTACTATCCTGCTCCTTTTTCCTCCCACTGCCCTCCTAAGGGGTGTTTCCAACTTCTTGTGGGTGCTCCCGGCATCCCCACCCCCAGCACACCTACTGTGCTCTTTAATACCTTCCTGGACCCCATAAAAAGGCCTTCCCTGTGCCCTAGTTCACCCATAGGCCAGCTGGTAGAGACCAGGGAAGATAGAGGGGCTTGCTGATAAGGGACACACCCAGGCCCCTCAGGATCTAGGCAAGACACAGGGCAATGTTCAGCACTTCACCTGTCCTGCCCCTGCACTCCCACTCATGACCACCATCCATACCCCAGCAGTGACCTCCTGGAGCCACTGACCCCACCACTACTCATTCCTCCTACTGCCCTAAGAACCTCCCATGTGTCAAGCACTGAGCACTATTATTTCCATTTTATGATAAAACTGAGGCAGAGTACTTACACAACTTGCCCAAGACTAGGCTGGTAAGAGACAGGCAAAGGATCCCAACTCAGGTTCCCCTATCCTCACAGCTTTCATCTCTAATTTGGTATCTCTTAAAACCCCCATGCCCTTCCAATGGGCTCCTCTCTGCCAACGGTACCAGTTCTCCTGCAGTCTTTGTAAAACCTCTGGTCCTCCTGCCTCCACCTCTGACGTGGAGCTGTGACTACATTCCCTCAGAACAGTCCTCCATCCCCAGTGCTGCCCTTTAGGGGACTCTTATCTCTGCAAAGCTCCAACTCCCTGGTTCCAAACCTGAAGAGAAGCAACAAGCGTTCCTGCTCATCTCTACAGACAAGCCTCTGCGCCCCAGTGCCAAGCAAATCCTCACGGATCCTGGTTTCTGCTGGGTACAGTGCCCTCCCTCGATAGGCTTCCCCCATCTGCTCTGCCAGACCATCCCTCCTCTCAACTGCAGACTCCATGAGCTTTACTATCTCCAGACTCTTCCTCTAAGTATCAGAGTCAGAGCTAGCCCAGCACACACGTCTGTGACACCTATGACTGTATTTTCCTCCCATAGGGTAATGTCTGGCTCCAAAGTAACGTACAGTGAAGAGGTGGCATATGACTGGTCCAGTCACAGTTAGCTATTCTCAGCTTTTATCTCTCTTTCTCCCCTCATCCTTCCAAATTATTTTACTTCCCTATTCCAGGCCCTCAAAATTGAGCCTGAAGATGTGGGATCCATCTCGAGGCCCCTCCAGTGCCCAGTGCACTGTGGATTGGCTGCAGCTGCCAGAGACTGTGCACACCCTGGACACTGGCTAAGAAATACCTGGGTTTGCCCATGAGGGGCTCAGCTTAGAAGGAAAGAAACAGAAAAAAATACAGAAATACTCCCACCACATTTAACATACAAGGACTACAGCTGCTGGTGTGCCAGGACCAAACTCCAGAGACCCATAGTCAGGGTGGCCTGCAGGACCCCTCACCTGGCCCTGATAGGAGGAACAGGGCCACCTAAAGGATTCCATCCCATCATAGACAGCCTGGGGGGCTTGGGCAGGGGAGGGGCATGCCCACCTGCTTCAGAGAGAGGTGGGGAGCTGTGAGCTGGGGACCTGGACCCAGGGTCACACAAGGTGTCAGGAAGCTAACACATCTGTCCTAAATAAGGCCAGAGCTTACCCAGATGCAGTGTTACAGGCTGGGAAGGAAGCAGCTGGGGCTGCGAGGAGATGTGTATGATGATTAATAGGGCTGGGGACAGCCTAGATGGAGGGGTGGGCATGAGCAGGCTGGGGATGCCAGGGCAGGCTAGGGACCACTGTAGAGGGCAGGGGTACGTGACACACAGTCCTCAGACACTGTGAAGCCCCTCCCACCATCCTGCCCAGGATCCCCACACGGCTCCCGGCTCTTACCTGCAGTAACTGGATCTGGACACACTGCACCCCCGCTGTCAGAGCTGGTCCCGGGAGCCCTCCACTAGGCACTGCAAAGTTTCCACACAACCAGCCACTATGGTTTGCATGCAAGTGGGGAGGACTGATTTTGCCACCTTTTACTTTGCTTTGAGTAGCCCCTGAGGAATCTAAAATGAAATAGATAAAAACCATACACGATCTTCCGGTCGGCCCTGCTCCTCCCAAGGCTGCACCATGAGGAAGACAGCCTTTCTGTTAACTGCTATTCTGCCCAACCAGCAGGCTTAAAATCACCCGAAAGGAATAATCATAAGACAGGAGGTTAAAAATAAAAAAAAGCCCAGGATTTTGATTATAAAATTAAGAAAAATTTTATTTATTTACTTTTCTTGAGACCTGCTCTTATTTTGTTGCCCTTGGTAGAGTGCCATGGCGTCATAGCTCATAGCAACCTCAAACTCTTGGGCTTACGCAATTCTCTTGCCTCAGCCTCCCAAATAGCTGGGACTAGAGGCGCTTGCCACAATGCCTGACCACTTTTTTTTTGCAGTTGTCATTGTTGTTTAGCAGGTCCAGGCTAGATTCAAACCCACCAGCCCTGGTGTATGTGGCTGGCAGCCTAACCACTGAGATACAGGCACTGAGCCAAGAAAAATTTTAGAAACATACTATACATTTTTACCAGACAGTAATCAGACCAAAGTTGTTCATTCCTGGAGGCAGAGACTCTTCCCACCCCTCTCACTCCAATGACTCCTGGCATGCAGGAGAATCTTAGAGTCCAACTGAGTCCAACCAACCACACAGAGCAATAGACTCGCAGAGAAGGAAGCAGGTCTTCAAAGAGCACCCTGGCCACTGGAGAGCAGGCTGGATGGCAGCCAACTCCTCCGGAGTACTGTCTCTGCCCCACTTCATTTTCAAAAGTGGTCACTTCATTGGTTTTAGAAATACATGCTTTGTTTAAAAAAAAAAAAAAAGTAATGAGGTAAAGTACAAAGACGAAAAAATCCTAACACTCTGAAATAACCCCTCGAACTTCAGGAAGCCCCAGAGGCAGCCCAGAGTGAAGGCTAAAGTATGTCCTATGGAGACCAGTGAATGGCCCAGGTGCAGACACTGGCCCACTCTGCCCTGGGCCTCAGTGTTCAGTGTTCTTTAATTATAAAATGGGAATCATAGTCCTGATCTCACACTCCTTAGGGGAGGACTGACTGAGCACATACATCTTAGGAACTCAGAACGGTACCTGGCTCTGGTAGTACTAGAGAATTCTAGGTGTCATTACTGATGTCACTGCACATCTCTGCCTGGACATAGCCAATGAATGGCCTGCTCGCCTCACTCCACATCCCGTATCTCCTGCGCCCTGAATCCTGACAGCTCCCTGCACTGGAAGCCAGGGGCCTCTGTACTCTGCAGCCAAACCACCTGGGTATAAAATTCTTGGGTCTCCAGCACCTTTCTCATCACTCTACTCACTTTCAGACAGGACAGCAGGGCTGGGGACAGGGTGAGGAAGAGAGGAGCCTATGGCAAAGAAATTCAAATCAGTTCCCAGTACTATAGTCTATTAAATGCGCAACAGCATTGCATTAAAAAAAATGTATGTACCTTAATCAAAAATATTTTATTGCTAAGAAATGCTGACACAGAGAAACAAAGTCAGCACATGCTGTTGGAAAAATGGCACTGACACACTTGCTGGGTGCAGGGTTGCCATAACCTTCACTTTGTAAAAAGTGCAACATCGGCAAGGTGCAGTAAAATGAACGCTGCCTGTGTTCTCCCTGAACTTGTACACTATTCCACTCAACTCCGGAATTTTACCTATATGCATTTTTAGACTTTGAAGTTTTTTAATGCCCTAGTTTATTTCCTTGTGATAAAAATATGTACATAAATTGAAATTGCATTTGAGTTTATAAAAGTTAAACCTTTTTATTTGAATTATTACCATTGCAATTAACACAAAAGTTAATTAAAATTTTTGATAGATAATTATGACATTAAAAACAAAATTTGTATTGAAATTGCATCTCAAAGGGAATGGGCTGACTGGTTCTTTTTCCCCCAATTCATGTGTCTGCATTTAAATATTACTTATTGTTAGAACAGAATTAGACATGGTCAGTATACATTTTACCAGTTAAAAAAATATTTTAAATATAATTTTTTTTTCTTTTTTTGGTAAAGACAGAGTCTTACTTTATCGCTCTCAGTAGAGCCGTGGCACCACACAGCTCCCAGCAACCTCCAAACTCCTGGGCTTAGGCGATTCTCTTGCCTCAGCATCCAGAGTGGGACTACAGGTGCCCACCACAACACCCAGCTATTTTTTTGTTGTTGTTGCAATTTGGTGGGAGCCAGGTTTGAACCTGCCACCCTTGGATAGTATATGGGGCCAGGGCCCTACCCACTGAGCCACAGGTGCTGCCCTGTTTTAAATATAATTTCAGGACAACTTTGCAGCTGCAGACTGAGCTCATTCCATTTAGGGTAGTGATTTTCAACAGGTGTGCCATAAGAATTTTTAAAGATCGTTAATAAAATTATTTTCAAAAGAAGTTCAAAAGCACAGTAAGTACATTCCCTTTTTAATCTTTTTTTTTTTTAATGAATGTAAGTGTGCTGCTGAAGTTTAACTATAGGTTCAAGTGTGCCCTGAGATAAAAAGGGCTGAAGAACACTGATTTAGGGGGACAGGCCTGCCACAAACCCTGGGCAGCAAGGCTGGCCTGCATGGCCACAGCAGTCACAGTAAGCTTATTTTCTGATAAAAGATCTGACTTCATTTTTTAATTCAAATAAACATATCCTTAAAGAATCCTATAAAAATCACTGCAGAATAAGCCACATATCTAGTAATGTATCTTCTAGGTTACTTTTAAAAGCAGGCAAGATTAGGGGCAGTGCCTGTGTCTCAAAAGAGTAGGGCACTGGCCCAATATGCTGGAGGTAACAGGTTCCAACCCAGCCATGGCCAAAAACTGCAAAAAAAAGAAAAAAGCAGGCAAGATTTTATCTATGCATATCATTTATCAAGTTTTATAACATAAAAACAAGATAAATCTAAGCCATTTCCCATTATTTATCTTATAATGGTTCAACGCTGTATGTGTAGGGCAAGCTCTGAGTTATCTATGAAGCAAGAGGTGTGACAGTAGCCTGTATCCCTTCACGCTGTGTGTACCAGCATGATATGTGCATACCAGCAAGTCATGGGAAAATTCAGACTCATGTGTGCAAAGTCAGAAATAATTCCACTAATTTTGCTAAACATATGATTATACTTTTCCTTTATACTTAAAGACCAGAATATGCACGGCTAATAAACTAATTAGTAACTAGAGTATGATTCTTTTTTAAATTAATTATACTTTTCCTTTATACTTAAAGACCAGAATATGCACGGCTAATAAACTAATTAGTAACTAGAGTATGATTCTTTTTTAAATTAAT